TGATGAATTAGCATTATTCTCCTCACTCTGCGGTTGTAGTGACATCATCAATCATGCCATAGTCTGCATTAGGTGTTACATCAATGTCATAAGTTAATTTTACTACCACTATATGTAGGTTAATATGTGCATGCACTAATAATGATTAAGTTCCCATACTTCTTTAACTTTTTCCATAAACTAATATAAAAATCACACCATTACTAAAGCAACTAGACTATTCCTGATATCACTGTACTTTTAATGTAGAATCAGTAGTGGTAGAGTTTACCAGTATTTTAGCAATGTTTACTAGCATATCTAGTGCAATCTCACTTACACAATTGGTGGTACATTGCTCAACAGATTAATAATTATAATAACTGTAAATATTACCATCTCAATACTAATATTTACAGTTATTATAATTATAAATGACCAAAATCAATAGATCTACTCTATAGCAACACTTAGAATAGTGAGTAGATTCATTGTCCTACAATCTCATACCACAAAATGAAGTCGTATGATAGGTCTATATTCACAATACTAATATAATCTGCACATTGCATGCACAATTAAGAATCTTTTCTAATCATTTATTTAAAATGTATATAAAACTTGATGATCAGTCACAGCTATAGAGTGTGAAAAAGATCCTTATAGCTATAAGAAACTAGATCTATGACTAATTATGTGGAAAATGTTTGTTTTACTTATCTAGATCAAACTAACAAGTGTATGCATGACAGTCTGTTTATTACATCTACATATAAAATAAAGAATTTTATCACACTCCACAGAATAGTGCATAATGAGTAGCTATTTTGAAACAATATCAGTCAGTTCATATATACACATTTTCATCATTTTCTTTGTTTTGAGCGTTAGTAGAGTCTAACAAACAAAATATATATCACCCAGTTACAATAGTATGATGTACTACTTACTTGATTCAGCAATTCTTAAAGCTCTTGCAACAAGTGAATGAGGTGCAGGCGCTTCTATTGGTTCATAATGTTGATCACTAGTCCCCATTGTTTCATAAACTCCATCTTCATTTCTAGTAATTTACATATAACACTTGTAAATAATAGCATCATTATTCTCCTCACTCTGTGGTTGTATTCTTGACAGTATTAATCATACCATATCCTGCATTAGGTGTTATATCAACATCAGTTTTACTGTATACATTAGATACGTAAAACAATTCCATAAATTTCTCTTACCTTATATCATATGATCGGAATTTTTTTCTATAAATTATGACACAAGTCACACAAACGATGACCAGCACCAAAGCAATTATTACAACCAAAGCTGAAACAATTCCTGATATTACTAGCACACTTAATGTAGAATTAGTACTAGTAGTAGTAGTACTAGTATTGTTTGATGGAGACACTGTATAAACAATTACAGATTAAACAATGTTATTGTTTACTATATTTACCTATGATTACAGCTGGCCCTTCGACTATCTCTACATCAGTCAATAGCAATGCACTAATGCTCACAGTATAAGCTAACTGTGGTTCAGTATCAGTTATATTAACTGATGTGGTATCATAAGCTACTGATATAGTTCTTGTATTAGTTTGTCTTAATGTACTGCTAGTGCTACCATCATCAGGAGTTGATCTGATACTGTATACAAAGAATCCTTTAGCTTCTTCCAGTGTCACTGGATCCCATGATAACACTATTGTATCTCCTATTCTCATTGCTTGTACATTTGATGGCAATATTCTGGCACTACCTGCATGTAAAGTGACATGTACCTCTGAATATCTAAAAATTTAAATACTTTACTTTCAGCTTTAGTGAATACAATAGCAGTAGCTGAATTTCCTTCACCAACTTGATTGACGGCTACAACTGAAACATAATAAGGTACTCCTGATTCTGGAAGTAGAGCACAATAAATTTAATTTTTTTAAATTTGTACTTACTCAATCCACCATAAATTAGTGTGTATAAGGCTTTATCAATCATGAAAATAGAGTATCTTTCACTAGTAATTGCATCAGTAGCTATTCTAACGATAAATCCAGTGAGTTCTCCATTAGGATGAGATGGTAGACTCCATGTTATATTAATAGTAGTTTCATTGACAACTGGTACAGTATAAGCTACTGTTAAATTATTAATGACAACTGGTGACACTACCAGAAGAGGTGAACTAGGAGCTTTGAAATTGTAACCTTGATGAATATATCATAATAATATACTTACTGTCTGGCAGTGTTCTTCCTGCAGTAGTAGCCACTGGTCCAGCTCCAATGATTGTACTAGCACTAACACTAGCAGTGTAATTCTGATATGGACTGAGACCATCAACTAATTGTGTGACTGTAGTTTGATTGACAGCTACAAGTATTGTATAGTTATGCCTTCTCAGAATATTTTGTTCAATGATGTTCAATAAATATTTGATAATTATTCCATTAGGAGTAGCTGGCTTAGTCCATGTAAAAGTAATTGTAGTTTTATCAGATGTTGAAGTAAAATTCTGAGGAATATTACTTGGTTCTAATAGAAGTTTAACAGAGACATAACAATGAAGTAAATTGAAACTAATGTTAGAATTATTGATCTACTTAAGAACACCCACTTCACCTGTATTATAATATCAAGTGTATACTTACTATCTTGAGCTGTTTCAAAAGTACACTGGGTAGTGGGTCCTTCTTCTACTACATTAATGAATGACAAATAACAAGTGTAACCAGTAAAAGGCATAACATCAGTAATAGTGAACATTGTGTTTGTTGAAGTTTGTGTTGGGCTCAATCCATTGACTGATACACCATTAGTATTCATACATGCTAAATTATAACCAACTGGTGCTCCATTTTGATCTATTAGTGCTGGTGCAGTCCAGGCAAGTGTGACATTATGTGGTAGAAATGTTATATTAGCACAATCCATTGGAGAAGCCATAGGCACTGTAATTGACAGAAAATTAATAAAATAATTTAAGTAATATTATTGCTTACATGTTGGAAGTGTTCTAAAGCTCATCTCTGCAGTACTAGTAGTACCAAGACAATTTGTGGATACAACTGTATATGTATAAGTGTTATCTTCCTCAAGGGCAGTCAACATGATCATAAATTCTTCATTAATTGCACTAATGTTACTGGAGTTCATTCTTATGATAGAAGTTGCTTCTGTTGTTTGTAAGATTGCTCCAGTATACTTAACACTGTAGGTTTCAGGTGTATAGGCAATGTTAGGTATTATGAATGATATAGCAGCAGTAGTTGCTCCTGGAGTAGCTGTTACATCAGTAGCAGGAACAGGTAGGCTCTGACCTATAAACCGATAGAAGAAGGTGAAAGAAAAGAGAGAAAGATTAAAATATACAATAGCTTATTTTTTACTTACGTCTTATAGTCACAGTACTTTCCTCACAAGTAGTGATATCAGTTGAATCAGGTATAGTAATACTAGCAGTACATCTATAAGTACCAGAATCAGAAGATCTACTGGTGGGGAAGCTCAATGTATTAGTAACAGTGGTAGTTGTAGTATTCTCAGTAGTGGTCACAGTACCAGTTTCTAGTGTACCATTGTGTGTCCATGCTATTACCAGGTTTGGTATTACTATGGTTGGTTTAGTGGCTGTACAGGTAAGAGTAAAGTTATCATATGGGTCTGAATCAGGACATGATGTTTCCAGACCCAGGAAGGAATTAGTAAAGGCATAGATGATAGTGGGATCTACAAAAATAATTGGTAAGTGGTGAAAGTGAGTACAAGTGAATAATATATGTTTACCAGTTATAGTGAAGTTGAAGTTAATAGTAGCACTAGAAGCCATAACATATTCATAAGCTGGAGCTGGTACTATAGTAGCAATACATGTATATGTTCCTGAATCTTCAGTACTGCTCAATGTAGTGAAATTAACTGTTGATCTATACTCATTGAAACCTGATCTCATCATAACAGAGCTGATATTAACACGATCTGTATCAGCAAGGATCACAATATGGCTGTCATCATTTCCATTTTCAATGTGCTGATGAGTCATGTTCCAGGTTACATTAACAGTGAATGGGGTATCAACATTAGGATCAACACTGATATCACATGTTAGTATCAGGCTAGTGCCAGCTAAGAAATTACTATCTCTTGATTGGCTTTTGTAAATAGATGAAATAGGAACTAAAAATTGATATCATTATGAAGATACTAAGTTGTCATCTTACTTCTTAATGGTAAGTTCCAAAATTCATTACTCCTTGCTACCATGGATATCTGACTCACATTAATAGAGGCCTCACAAGTATACAGACCAGCATCAGAAGTATTGAGAGAAGAGAATCTCAAGTAAAGAGAAATGCTTACATTGGATACATTCATAAGTACTGGAGATACACTAATAACATTGTTAGCTGATCTCTTAGTCCATGTTATCACTGGTGAGACTATGAGTCTATCAACAACTGTCACTGTACAATTTAACATGTATTCTTCACCAGGTTCAGCAATACCAATAGTTACTATCCCTACTACTGGCATTGGAATAGCTGTAATGAGGGAAAAAAGGAAAATAATAGAAGAGAAAAAGTAGAGAAATATATGTGGGTAATATTTTATTTAAAAAACTGAATATACCATGTATTAATCATTGTGCATTGTTTAATCAAGTATGTACATTATGCATTACTTACCAAAAACTGTCATAGACATATTAGCATTAGCTGATGTATTCCTGAGATATGTGTAACTATTAGGAGCAGTCACTTCAACATTACAAGTATACATTCCACTATCATCAGCATTATCCAATGGATAGAACATTAATGTTGCATTATAATGTGATGTATTGATCATATTGAGACCCTCAGTAATTGTAGCATCAGACGAACCCATAGGAACATTAGTACCATCACGTGTCCATTGATTAGTGACAGTCACTGGTATAGTAACTAATAGATCTAACATTATGTCACATTTAATGAAGAATGATGTCCCTGCATATAATGTATCATCACGTTCCTTTGATATAGTAACAGTCACTGGTGGAACTATAATAAGTAATGAGAAAAGATATTTGATAACTCAAATCAGTAGAGTAACTTAAACTTACAGTTAACAATCAAATTAAAGATATCATTTGCCTCTTGATAATCATATGTAGCAGTGCTAGGATCATCAGTGTTATTAAAACCAGTTACATTGAACTCGGCCATACATGTATACATTCCAGCATCTTCAAACCTCACTGGATCCAGTATTAAAGTATAGTTAGTAACTGAACCAGTATCATCTGATGTGATAGTGTATGGTCTATTTAAGTTAGAGAGCATTTCCATATTTGTATCATTAATTTTTGTGAAAGTAATTAATGGTGTGACTACTAATCTCTCAACTGTTGTTATGGTACAAGTTATAGTTAGACTCTGACCAACTTCAACTGAACCAACTGATGAACAATTTAATGTCATTGGAGGAAGACCTGATGGAGAATAAAAAAATAATAAAAGGATATAAAGAGAAGCGAGATTAAGAGAATTAAAATTGATAAGTATTCTTCTAAATTACTTTCAACAGTAACATCAAGGGTAGTATTAGTAGGTTGACTTGATATTATAAATGAGTTACCAGAATTGATGATCATTTGACAGGTATATGTTCCTTCATCATTATTAAGACCAGTATCAATAGGTTGAAACAATAGCATGCTTACAAGACTGTTACCAGTTGGAGGTATCACTTGACGCCTTGTTTCATTAGTTGGTATTATATTACCACTAGGATCAGTCCATACTACACTAGCAGTTACTGGTGTATCCACTATTGTAGTGTTTACTGTAGCTGTACAGGTTAGTAAGTAACCTGTGCTCTCATATATTGGACCAATTGGAGGATCAGCAGCTATTGATACACTGGAAGGAGGTACTACAAAAATAATAATTATTATTTTGACAGTTAAATCCTGTTACTAACTTACATGTTATCAGTAGATTAGAGAGATCACTATCCTCTTGAAAATCATAAGTAGCAGTATCGGGATCATTGGTATTATTAAAACCAGTTACATTAAAT